AGGATATGTTATTTTGACCTGAATGTTGTACTTCAATTAACTTGACATGAATGGTATAGAACATGTGGCTATACTTGTTAAATACCATACCTATTATATCATATCTCCGAACTGAATGGCATGCTTTATAGGTTGAACTTGTGATAACTGAAGTGTTGTAATTGGTCTATCTCATAATGAGTAAACAAAATAGAAAAGCTTCGTGGGATACAAGAACCACATAGGTCTTTATTGACCTATGCATTGAAGAAGTTGAAAAAGGAGGAAGAAAAGGAACTAGCTTGACAAAGCCTGCTTGGGCAAGTCTTGGGGACAACTTCACTGCAAAGACTGGGAGAATCTATATGAAAATCCAATTTAAGAACAAATTTGACTCTCTACAAAAGGAGTGGCAATTATGGGATAGGCTGCTCTGTGAGACAGGTCTGGGGTGGGATGCTAAAAGGAATACTGTTAGTGCCCCTGATAATTGGTGGGAGAAGAAAATAGTGATAATCATTTAACTTTATTTGGGCTTGCATTTTCTCTGATGTTAAAGTTTTTTGTATAATGTATAATATTTTTGGTGTTGAATGCGCAGGAAGTTCCAGGCTACGAGAAATTTAGAGAAAGAGGGCTTCAATTTCGAGCTAAATTGACTCAACTCTTTGGGTCTGTAGCTGCAATTGGACCACAGTCATAGGCACCTTCTTCCATGACACTTTCAAGCAAAGAAGTTCCTGAAAATGATATGGAAGAAGGGTCTGGAGATAGTGATGAAATTTTGGGGGCACCAACTAGCATAAGCAGGGAGTTTAATTTGGTCACATTCAATGACAATAGTGGAGGAAGTGGAGGCAACACTGGGATGAGATAGGAAACCATTCGTGGGGGTAGAAGCACAGGTGGCGGTCGACCTAGTAACTCATTAGAGGTTAGAAAAAAGGGTGAATCCATGAAGAAGAAACCCACAACTACTATGAAAATAGCGGATGCACTAAGCAGGATAGCTCAAGCAAATGAAAATGATTCTTAGCGTGAACATGAAGAGATTTCAGAAGCACTTGCTAGGAAGCTAGAAGAAGAAGCACATGCTTATGAGACATCAATTGCAGGAGTCATGGAGCACCTTAATGAAGTTGATGAAGTTGTTGATGATCCTGATCTGTTTGGCCGGTGCACAACACTCCTTATAGACAAGCCAGCTACAAGGGAGATGTATGTGGCTCTGAAGAACAAGAGGGAAAAACTCCTGATCTTCTTGAAGCATGCAACTAAGGATTGAGACTTCATTTGTGCTGCTTATTATAGTATTTGACTACTTTTTGTGTTGCTTAGAAGATGATTGTGATAATTTGTATATATTTTTAGGAATGATGTAACCAGCACTATTGTATTATGTGACTACTAAATTTCTGTAGGAATTAAACAACTTATTTTCTTGTTAAGTGTTTAGTAATTTCATATCAGGGTTTCTGAATTTTATGTCTATGTGCACAGGACAAGACAAAAAATGGCTAATGAAATTAAAATTGTGGAAAAAAGTATCATAAATGACGAAATAAACATGTTAATCAAGTTGCAGTAGCAGTTGGTGGATACACTTCTCTTCATTTGTGTAAAGAGCCCCAGCATAGAAGTATTTATACAAGCAAGGCATGGGTAAGGGATGTTTTACAAGGACATTCTATCCGTTGTTATAACATGTTTAGGATGGAAAGGGAAGTGTTCTTTAGTCTTTGCACAGAATTGCAACAACACGGTCTAAGGAAAACTAGAGATGTTGGGATACATGAAATGGTTGCAATGTTTGTAAATACCATTGGCCATGCGCTAAATAGTAGGATGCAACAAGAAAGATTTCAGCATTCAGGGAGACAATTAGTAGACATTTCCATAATGTCTTATTAGCATGCTATAGACTTGCTATGTCCAATATCAAACCAAAAGATCCAACATTTTAGCATTTGCATACAAAAATACGGCCCGGTGGTCGATACTGGCCCTTTTTCAAATATGCTATTGGAGCAATTGATGGAACACATATTTCATGCATTGTTGATGTAATTGAGCAAACAAAATTTATTAACCGAAAAGGAAGAGTGATGCAAAATGTAATGGTGGTTTGCGATTGGGACATGTGCTTCACTTTTGTATTGGTCGGATGGGAAGGTAGTGCGCATAATGCTCGTATATTTGACCATGCCCTCACAACTCCTTCTATGAACTTTCCCCATCCGCCTTAAGGTGTATTTTAAATTGCTACAATTTATTTATGCTTAACTGTTAGAAAACACAGTTTATTGACACCAATCATATATTTCATGTAGGCAAATGTTATTTGGTGGATGCTGGCTATCCGACACCCATGGGATACCTTGGTCCCTACAGACGTGAACGCTACCATCTCCCTGATTTGCGAAGGTTATCTGTACTTGAAAATGAGAATGAGGCGTTCAATTATTTGCACTTAAGTCTACGGAGCACTATTGAAAAAACTTTTGGAGTTTGGAAGAGTAAGTTTGCAATTTTAGGAAACATGCCGAGCTATGACTTTCCAACGTAGGTTCAAATTGTTTGTGCAACGATGGCCATACATAACTTCATTAGATCAACATCCATTTCTGATCCTGGTTTCATTCAGTTTGAACAAGAAGGTTCTTATGCAGAAGAAAATAATACTCCCTACGTTCCTTATTATAAGAGACATTTGATGCTTATGGCATGTTCCTATATATAAGAGACACTTAAAAGTTGTCTCTACTTTTTTGTATTGATTTTCTATTTTACTCATATTGATTGTCTCCAATTCACACTCTCTCTCCCTCCCACTTCTCTTTCTTTCAATAATTTAATTGTTCTCTCTCATGCTCTCTCTCCTTATTAATGAGGGCATTTTTGGAAAAAAGATTATATTTTTTACACATTGATTGTTCTTAACTAATTTTAACTACTTTTTTGATCAACGTAATTCGGTTATTCGTCTCTTATAATAAGGAACGGAGGGAGTAATGATGATGGAGTTGGATCTTCACATATAACTTCATCAATAGAATCTTCATCTCACATGGATCGGCTTCGTGACTCCACAAGAGATCAAATTGTTCACTATATACAAGAATAGTCATGTCCTTTTTATTTTCTTTTTTCTTTTCTGATAATGTAATGTGTTGTTAAAAAAAAAACTACTTGGACAAATATATTTCGTTGCAACCTCTATTATTAAGACAATTAATATGAAATTTTTTTGTGGTTATTTAATTTTGTGAAAAAAAATTATGGGATTTCATCTTTAAAATTTTTAAGAAATAATAATATTTCTTTTTGGAAAAATAAATCATTTTCCTAAAAACATATTTAATTATTTTATTAATATATATACACATTAATTTTTTATTATTTATATTATTTATGTCTTATTTATTATGTTGCCAAAATATATATTATTAACAAATTTATTACTTCAAATAAACATATATTATGAAATATATCTTACATGTAATTATCACTTAAACTTATGTCTTTTTTAGTAATTTCTACATATCAAAAGGTACTTCTGATAACAATTATCCAAACACTCTTATTTTATCAGAATAACTTTTTCAAAAAATCTATTCTTTTAAAATCTATTTTTTCCAGAATCTATTCTCTAAACTATGGTTTTGCCTTATCCAAACACCTCTGAAATAAATATATAGAGGAATTTGTCTCGTTTTGCAAAAAAGCACTTCTGAGAAGCATTTTTAAGGATTGCTAAACACGCCTAAGAACACGTTGAGGAAGTTATCTGATGCAGGAGTTATCTTGGAGGACCACAATGGAATTTTACTTACTGTTTGATTATAATCTTCAAAGATAAATTTAGGTTCCTTTTTTCACAACTAAATAAGGACACCTGCATCATTCGTTTACCGTCTTGACAGGGCCCCCACCATGTGCAGCCACCTCTTTCCTTCATCCATCAAACCTTCAACAGTGATTTTTGTACGACCTTATCAACCGGCATCACTAGGTGGAAATAATTTTTGTAAGCAGAAATTCCATAGTTGAATTTGTTATCTCCACAATTTAGTTTCTTTATATTCTTGTTGAATTTCAGAGATGACCATGTTCTGAGTTATGATTGAGTAAGGGAATTATTTGTCAATTTTCCTGACAGCAATCAAAATTCCTTGCATCTTAATGGATGCATTGCACGAGATCCTTAGTCCACACACAGTACATGCAGATTACAGAATCAATCTGACTGTTATTTATGATTGTTATTCTAGGAGGCTGTTTCACAAATGAGCATAAAAAGCCACATTTGCATTTAAACTGAAAATTATTTGGAACTTTGCTGCAAGGTCAAGGTTTCTTATTCTACTCTGTTCTGTGAAAAACCTGCTTTGAAGATGATAAGTCTTGTTCAGAAACATGTTTCTTGAGTTTTATGGCTTATCACTTGCAGTTTTAGGAAGCTGACCTTTCTTAAAGAATTACTCTTTTTTTATTTTCCATGTTTATGGTGAAACAAAGACTTCAAATTGGTTTCACTCAAAATTAAAGAATCTGGACTCCCAACATTTACATTGTAATTAATTAAGGAAAATGATCCTCAGATAACATCGTTGGAATGGAAAGCTTTTCATTGGGGAAAATTTTTTTTTTTAAAACAACAATAATCTTTTGATAGTCCAGCTCACCCAACCAAGACTCTTCGTACCAAACTGTCGGACACCCTCCATTGTCCAACATTAATGACAGATTTTAAAAGGCAAAATGAGAGTTAGGGTCAGGTTTTGCACAATAATGACAGATAATAACCCTAGAGCTTGAAAATGCCAATTAATTACCAAGGTTTAGGAAAATTCTATGAACCAAAAAGCTCTAGTTGACCTGTAAAAAGCTGGTTTTAAGTCTCTAGCAATTGGCAGCTTTAAATTTTACGTTCTCAAGTATCATTATCTTGTTTAAGAAGGTCGTAATTGTCATTTTTCCTATCTAAAAGTTGCCGCTACATCAGAAGTACTGAGGCCATATTACAAACCGAAATAAGTTCTGCTACAATTATTTCAATAACTTGTCACATAGAACCATCATAAATCAAGTATGCTACAATCTTCTTCACAGGGAATTGAGGCCCAATACTTAAAATAAGCTCCACTTGATCACCAGGTTGAATACTTGAAATGATACTTTGCCATTTCGCATCTTCATGGAAAGTTGCCGAGTCTCCCTTACATTGTTTAACATAAGCCTTCGTGTAGTTAATTATCAAAACATTTATGAAAAATTGAGGCCTTGTGTTATCCATAGAAGAAGAATACGCAACATTCAGAAGCATCGCTTTCAAGTGACACCCTATGACTTGAGGTGCCTTAAAAATTACTGAGCGTCCTTCGCCCTTGTAGATGAACCAGTCCGGATACTGATCACCAGGGAGGTTAGAATCATCCCACCCGCCGCAACTCGATCCCTATAGATGTGGCCCAGAAAAGGGAAAATAAAATACGACTCCCTTCTTATAACATGCTCATTAGACTTGTGGGAAGTAATATTGCATTCGTAAGGTAAGTACTGTTCGTTAATGAAACTATAGATTTCTCATGCATGCAATATTGATATGAGTTGGGTACTCCAGAAAACCAACATTTCCAAACATGATGGTGGTAGAAAAGAAAACAAAGACAAACCTGTAGTATTTTGTCTCTCAGCAAGTCTACCTTGTAGCTCTCTGCCATTTGAATTAAAAGAGAAGGGAGGAAATCTGCCGATGTTGCATTGTGAACTTGATCATGACCGTCAAATGATGTAGAAGCTTCCCCGGATCTGCTTGGTGCGGATTCCAAGTCCATGAAGTTTGTCCCATACAAGGCATCCATAAGTCTTGCCATTTCTCCATTGAATCGAGACTGTGATCGGCATTCCTCCCACATACCTTGAAGCTTGGCAAGATCGCCCAGAAATGGAGATAGGCCAAGAAATCTGCCATTCTGTATAACAGAAAAAACTAGAGATGACATGCTCAGCAAAAATTCTTCACTGCTGGACTGGGGAATATTGGTGGGTGACATCCAAGACCATATGAGAGAAGGAAATACATCTTGTGCTCTTCCTTCGCGGCCTGGGAAAGATACATATCCATGCTTAAGCGCTTCCAATCTTGCTAAGGCCTTGGGTATTACTGTTATGGCAGTATGATCCGCCTTTAGTACTGTCATCGATTCCATCTGCTCAATATCTTCTTCTAAATGGTCAATCAATGAACAACCAGAAAGAACGAGAGTTCTTAATGATTTCAACTTGTAGATGCTTCTAGGAAGAACCCTCAGGCATTTGCAGTCTTTTAGATTTACCAAAATAATTTTTTTCAAATCTCCAATGCTTTGGTGAATTAACACTAAGCTCGGACAATCTTTCAGCACTAGCTTTTCAAGGTTTGGTAGGTTTGTAAAATCAGGAGTTTGTCTCAAGTGAGGTGAATGGCTGAGAATAAGAATTGTCAAATATGGCAACAACTGCAAAAAATGAAGTTCAATGTGATAAATTAATCCAAATTATAATATTGATGGCTTAAAACATTTGAAAAGGGAGGAAAGACAAATTCATACTTGGGGCTTCTTCCAAACTAGCCTGAGGTTGCTGTATTTAAAGTCAACAACAACTAAGCTTTTCTGGTGCAAGCTGTCAGGTATGGATTTTAAAGGAAATCCATGCCAACAAAGCCACCTTAGCTTATTGGAAAGATGCCTATAATCTCCTTCAAGATTTACATATTCTAGTTGGAGCAATCTGAGTTTTCTCATTGCCTTGAATGCTTTAGAATCAATCTCACACACTTCATGGGGCTTCTTTAGGGATATGCCCTCAATAACTTTTGTTGCCTGTTAAAACATATGTAAAAATGTTACAGAAAGAAGTCCCTTTACCATAAAAATTTTAAGAAAAGGGGTATGAAACCTGCAAGTTGGAGCAGTAAAAAAGAAAAAAAGAAAAAAAGAAACTACCTAACTTTGCGAAAAAAACATATGTATATTCTTTGACATCAAAGCCTGCAAAAGAAAATAGGACATGAAAGAAATTCTTACCGTATTTTGCATTAACACTTCAGTTACGTCCTCTTGAAACCACAATCTACTACGATCCTCAGGGTCCTTTCGAGGGCTTCCGCAAATGATTTCTCTTCCCATATTACGTAATAAGTCATGCATTTCAAGCCTATTGTTGTTCCTATTAACATTTATCAGGCTTCGCTCAATCAGGGTTGTTATTCCTATTTTTGCATTAAATCCACATCCATTTAATATATGCATTCCATAGTTTCTATCCTTATTGATAAAAAAGCAACAAATATCAAGAAATATATTCTTCTCCATATCATCCTTTAAACCATCAAAACTTATTTTTAACTTTGCTTGTATCTTATCATTCGGAATCCTTTCTAATTTGAGCAACACATCCTCCCATTCTTCAATTTCTCTGTCAACCAAGTAAGAACCAAGCACTTCAAGAGCTAGAGGAAGTCCACCACAGTAAGCAACTACATTTTCAGAAAGTTCTATGAAGTTTTCAAGGGGAGCTTCTTGCTTAAAGGCATACCAACTGAAAAGCTCGAGCGACTCAATTTCATTCATTGTTCTCATTCTATACTTGTGGTCAGCTTTAATGACACTAAGTAGATGTAGATCTCTAGTTGTTATGACTATTATACTCCTTGGACAAAACCATTCAAGACTTCCACATAATGCATTCAGCTGATTGACACTATCCACATCATCAAATACAACAAATGCTTTTATGTTGGGAAATCGTTCCTGAATTATTCTTTTCCCTCTATCAATATTAGGTACTTTGAAAACTTCTGTATTAATGATATCAAAAATGAGTTGCTTTTGCAAATTAACTTGGCCATTAGCATGTTCTGAATTTTCTCTTATATTTGCAAGAAAACTTCTTGCTTTTCCAAACTCACGACCAATTATGTTGTAAAAGGCTTTGGCAACAGTAGTTTTACCAACGCCTCCCATCCCCCAGAGGCCGATGATAAGAGCTTTTCTAAATCTCTTTGTTGACAATTTACTAGCCAGTTGCTGAACTCGAGACTCTATTCCCACTGGATGCTTAGCAACAAACAATTGTCCAGCATCTACTTTCTCTAAAACATACTTCACAATGGTATCAACCAGCTGAACGTCAGACCTGTCAATAATAAATGTCCGTTAAACAATATAATCAGCCACATAAATAGCATCATTATCAGAAATAAAACCGACAAGACTTGCTTTTAAACAGGAAGAATTTTAGTGGGCCATTAAGAATAAGAGATAGACCAATCTAGCCATTAAATATGTATATGCATCGCAGGAAAACTTTCAAATGTTGGACCCGAACAGGAGAAGGCTTCAAAAGAAGGCCAATGGCACAAGGAGGCTATTGAGCTCCGTTAACACTCTTTTTTGACCAGCGAGCTCTGTTTACACTCAGTTTTTAAGTCTACATCTACTTTTAATCGAACCCTCGTCTGCTCATATTTAGCACAGAATTACAGGGTTATATTAGGATTAAATATTTCTCCGTGGCCTCAAGAGCAGAACAGAAAACACAAGTATAATAATTTCCCCAACATTTTCAACTGTGCGATGAATTTACAGCTATAACTTTTAAAACTCACATAAATTTACCCTAAAAATAAAAATAAATTTCACAAACTGCGTTTGATTTTTTTTTTTTTTAAATGCACAAATTTTACTTTTATTTTCTAGACATATATAGCCTATGTTTAACATATATAAAAAAATTATAAACGATTTCGAATTTTTACTAAATTATATAATTTTTTCCATTGAATTCCATTTTAATTTTAAAAATAAAATTATGCAGGCATTTTGAGTTTGACCCATCGTTATTTGACTCATGTCCTCCCTTTTTTTCGGCCTTAATCAGAGCGGGTTTGGAATACATTACCGATCTGCTGTGGAATCAAACCCAGAAAGATTGCTGATTTCCGTGAGTGCCTGCCTCCAGCGCAACACCCGGCGATCACCTTCCCCTCCCAACCTCTGCTCGTGTCGTTCCATCGCTTCACCATATGTGCCTCTCTGATGACGAACATCAGACGGATTTATGTTATAGAATATGGGAACAACCACCTGAGCTGCAGATCTTCGACACTCCATTATGTTCACCAGTTCATCCAGACACCATCTGGAAGATGCATAATCTGGAGACAAAATTACCAACGCAATTCGTGATCTTTCAATTGCTTGCAATAATGAGGGAGAGATCTCTTCTCCCCTTTCAAGCTCTTCATCGTCCCTGAAAACATGAATTCCTGACTGTTTTAGAGCGCTATAAAGATGACCAGTCAAATTGCGACGAGTGTCTTGGCCTCTAAAACTCAAGAACACGTCGTAAGTCTGGGAAGAACTAGAAGAAGAAGAAGCCATGGCTTATTGAGGGAATCAGAGAAGAGGGCAGCAAACGCTTCAACGGATTGATCACAATTCGTCACGAGATATAGAATATCGATATGGCATCCACGGCAGTGAGACACCAAGTCTGAATAAAAACAAGTCAGTCAATCATAATTTTTTTTTTTTTGGGTCGCCAAAAGTCGGTCATTTATAATTGGGTTAAGTTTTTGTTTAGGCTTTCTTTGGAAATCAAGCTACCGAAAACACTATTGTAATCAGCTATAGTTTTATGCTTTGTCGTCGAGGGATCCAAAGTTAACCACAATTACTTAATACTCCTCCGGTCCTAATTATAAGACCTAATTGACTTATTTGAGGAGATTAAGGAAGTAAGTTAAGTTGGTTATTTATAATAAATAAGTGTTGTCATTCCTAAAATATCCTTGCTAATTAAGTATATTGGCTAAAACTATCATTATTAGAAGGATTATCTTGAAAAAAATGCATAAATATAAGAGACAAAATGGATTGGGGTCTTATAATTAGGACCAAATAAAATGTCAAATGGGGTCTTATAATAAGGACCGGAAGAGTACTTCAATTCAATTAAATATATCATATTGTAGTGATCTCATAGTTAGGCTAGCTGTACAAATTATTTTATGCTATCCACTGGCATCGCAGTTGTGTTGCGCCAGCTCGGAGTCCACGTGCATGTGGGGCCTCTCACTCTCTCAATCAGCGACATGTTTATTTTCATTTTAACTTTCTTTTCATTATTTTAGGTTGTGAGAAAATACTTTGCTCAATATATTGATTTTAAAATAAAATACAAAAAATAATTTCATTTTGATTTTACTTTAATCCTTGATTTGATGGTGTCATTTTTTTAATATTGGAGTTCAATTTTTTATGAAATTAGTTTAAAAATTGACTAAAAATCAAATAAGATTGTCTTTGTAAATGTTATACATTTTCTCTCTCCTATCTTTTCAGCCCCACTATCTAAACACAATGAGGGATGATATTATCTATCTGCTTTCTAGTTTCTCCTCCCCAAATTTTCTCTCCGTCCGCCTAAACAAACTTAGTATTATTTTCTTGACATGGCTCCCAACATATGAAGCCACCTCATTCCTTCAATAACCTGCCACGCTTAGAATCATCATAAATCAAGTATTATCTTCTCCACAAGAAATTGAGGCCCAATATTAAAATAAGCTCCACTGATAGCCCACAGCAAATTGTAATTCTTCTTTCTTTTTTCAAGCAAAAAAAATAGAAAATTATATTGAAACACAAGTCCAGAGCATAAAGCAGTAATAGAAGTCAAAAGACAAACAAAAAAAAACACTAAATAAAACAGTACTAACAAAACAATCATACATTATCACAAACTCCTGCTCGATCTGAATTCTGAATCCAATAAAGTTCGAAAAAGGGATTTATCTAATATGAAGATTGTCTCATTTATTGATTCATTAATAGTAGAATCCAGAGCTGTACCCATAGTCAAACATTCATCATCAAAGCAGACTGACAGAGGAATTGAACCGCATATTTTATTAGCACATCTCTTCTTGCTTCAGATAGGAATTTCTTTTGCCATCCTTAATCCCCCCCCCCCCCAAAAAGAAGAACAAAAAAAAAAACAAAAACCTTATCAACAACAAAGTCCAAAGCTTGAGGCCATATAGCTTCCCAGAGCATCCACCAAATCTATCTGAAAGTTCTGTCCAATTTCTTCTTTTAACCCACAGGCATGCCTGATTTCTTATCATTTTTCAGCTGCTTTGGAAGAAGTTCCCTGTGAAGCCATAAGGTCCAGGCCCTTGAGTTCCTCCCATTTAATGAACAGAAGCCTTAACTTCATCAATAGACGCTCTATCCTCAACAATTCATTGATTTCTGGTCTGAAAAATCTCTGCTACGTGATGAGGTGTAAAGGCCTTCCATTAAAATCTTCAAAAACCATTGCAATTCCCCGTTCTGTCTCCAACCAGTTATCATCATCAGCCTTCATCAACTGCACAATATTATTTCTGCATCTTCTCCTAATTGTACTCATATGGGGGGAAAAAGAAAAAAAAAGAAGAAGGTATTTTCAGCCCAATGAAGTTCTTCCTGCTGCCGACGCTTATCGCTTTTATTTTTCAAATCAGCCACTTCCCTTGCAATGTTATCATTCCTAGGACCTCGTCAATTTACCAATCAAATCATGCTCGCATTACATTGCATGAGCAGAGACACCATAGAACAAAGAAAAATTTATTAAGGGGGATTATATGATGGGTAGTGAGGCATTTACTTGAAAATTTTAATTTACAATGCTGAAGGAGGATTATATGATGGGTAGTGAGGTATAATTAAGATACACTTTAATTAATTTATATAAACTCGTATCGTGATTCACGTTTATGCTTGAGCGGAAGGAACAGATAGAACAGCAGTGCTTTAATTATACCTATGGCCGCCTTTGTGATCCATCAGAACCTAAAACAGATAGCAAACTCTATCCATTTCTATCTATCTTTGTGATCCTTTTATGTACGGGCCATTCCAAGGTGTAATATTTGTTTTTGCATTATCCTTTCAGTGTTCTGTGTAAATTTTTGCAGAACAAATATTGAAATAAAGTCAACCTCTCAGAACAGTAAGGTGAAACAAGAAGTCGTTGAGGAGCTTATCTGATACAGGAGTTATCTTGGAGGACCAAAATGGAATTTTACTTATTGTTTGATCATAATCTTCAAATATAAATTTAGGTTCCTTTTTTCACAGCTAAATAAGGACGCCTGCATCATTCTTTTATCGTCATGATAGGGCCCCCCACATATGAAGCCACCTCTTTCTTTCATCGATCAAAGCTTCAACAGTATTTTTGTACGACCTTATCAACTGGCATCTTCAGGCAAAAATGATTTTTGTAGGCAGAAATGAAATAGTTGAATTTCTTATCTCCAAAATTTTATTTTCGTTATATGATTGTTGAATTTCAGAGATGGTGAAAGCCAAGTTCTCAGTTATGATTGAGATAGGGAATTATTTGTCAATTTTTCTGACAGCAATCAAAATTCTTTGTATCTTAATGGGGTAGTGCATGAGATCCTTAGTCCTCACACAAGAGATACAGATTACAGGATCAATCTGACTGTTAGTTGTGATTATTATTTTAAGAAGCTGTCTCACAAATTAGCATAAAAATTACATGTGCATTTAAATTATAGCTTATTTGGAATTTGTGGTGCAGGGTCACGGTTTCTTATTCTCCCCTGTTTCCTGAAAAACCTTTTGAAGATGAGAAGTCTTGTTCAGAAACATGTTTCCTGAGTATTATGGCTTGTCACATGCAGTTTTAGGAAGCTGACTTTTCTTAAAGAATTAGTTCCTTCTTAATTTCCGTTTTTATTTTCCATGTTTATGGTGAATACAAAAACTTCAAATAGGTTTCATCGAAAATTAAAGAATCTGGACTCCCAACGTTTCAAATTGTAAAAATCTTTGTTTGGGATCTGTGGCAATTGGCAACTTTAAATTTTGGGTCCTCAAGTATCATTATCTTGCTTAAGAAGGTCGCAATTGTCATTTTCCATATCTAAAAGTTGCCGCTGCATCAGAAATACTGAGGCTATATTACAGACCGAAATCAGTTTTTGCGACAATTAGGTCAATAACCTACGACGCTTAGAACCATCATAAATCAAGTATGCTGCAATCTTCTTCACAGGGAATTGAGGCCCAATATATAAAACAAGCTCCACCAGATCACCAGGTTGAACACTTGAAATGATACTTTGCCATTCCGTGTCTTCATGGAAAGTTGCCGAGTCTCCCTTGCAGTGTTTAACATAAGCCTTCGTGTAGTTAATGATCAGAACATTGATGATGAGAAATCGAGGGCTTCTGTTATCCATGAAAGAAGAATACACAACATTGAGAAGCATCGCTTTCAAGTGACAACCTATGACTTGAGGCACCTTAAAAATTACAGAATGTCCTTCACCTTTGTAGATGAACCAATCAGGATACTGATCACCAGGTAGGTGAGAACCACCCCACCCACCATTATTCCATCCCTATATATTGCATCAACACAGGAATCAAGAGCTTGTATTTAGGTACTTATACAATGATGTGGCCCAAAAAAGGGAAAATAAAATATCGACTCCCTTCATTTTCACATACTCATTAGGCTTGTGGGAAGTAATAATGCATCTGTCCGGTAATAGTGTTCGTTAATGAAACTATAGAATTTTCATGCATGTAAGAAATATTGATGTAAGTTAGGTTCTTCAGATAACTCATATTTCCAAACATGATTGGGGGTAGAAAAGAGAACAAAGACAAACCTGTAGTATTCTGTCTTTCAATATGTCTATTTTGCTGCTCTCTCTCATTTGAATTAAAAGAGAATAGAAGGAATCCGCTGGTCTTGCATTGTTAACTTGATCACGACCGACAGATGATGCAGAAGCTCCCACGTATGAGAACTGTGATGTGCTTGGCGTGGATTCCAATTCCACGAAGTTTGTCCCATACAGGGCATCCAAAAGTCTCGTCATTTCTCCATTGGATCGAGACTGTGATCGGCATTCCTCCCACATACCTCGAAGCTTGGCAAGATAGCCTAGAAATGGAGATAGGCCATGAAAGCCGTCATTCTGTACAACAGAAAAAACTAGAGATGACATCCTCAGCAAAAATGCTTCACTGCTGGACTGGGGAATATCGGTCGGTGACATCCAAGACCATATGAGAGAAGGAAATACATCTTGTGCTCTTCCTTTAAGGCCTGGGAAAGATACATATCCATGCTTAAGCGCTTCCAATCTTACTAATGACTTGGGTACTACTGTTATGGCAGTATTATCTGCCTCTAGTACCGTCATGGATTCCATCTGCTCAATATCTTCTTCCAAATGGTCAAGCAACGAACAACCAGAAAGAATGAGAGTTTTTACTGATTTCAACTTGTAGATGCTTCTAGGAAGAACCCTTAGGCACTTGCAGTCTTCTAGATTTACCAAAATGATTTTTTTTAGATCTCCAATGCTTTGGTGAACTATCTTCAAGCTCGGACAATCTTTCAGTACTAGCTTTTCAAGATTTGGCAGGTTTGTAAAATCAGGAGTTTGTCTCAAATAAGGTGAGTGACTGAGAATGAGGATTGTCAAACACTGCAACAACTGCAAAAAAATGAAGTTTCATGTGAAAAATTAATCAAATTATAATACTAACGTCTTAAAACATTTGGCAAGTGTGGGGAAAGACAAATTCATACTTGGGGCTTCTTCCAAACTAGCCTGAGGTTGCTGTATTTAAAGTCAATAGCAACTAAGTTTTTCTGATACAAGCTGTCAGGTATAGATTTTAAAGGAAATCCAGGCCAACAAAGCCACCTTAGCTTATTGGAAAGATGCCTATAATCTCCTTCAAGATTTACATACTCTAATTGGAGCAATCTGAGTTTTCTCATTGCCTTGAATGCCTTAGCATCAATCTCACATACTTCATGGGGCTTCTTTAAGGATATGCCCTCAATAACTTTTGTTCCCTGTTAAAACATACAACAAAAATTTTACAAGAAGAAGTATTCACCATTTGCTAAGAGAAAGACAATACATAAATTATACATGATGCTTATGACAAAGGGAATATGGAACTCGTAAATTGAAGCAACAAAAAAGAAGAAAGTACATAACTCTTGTTTTCTAGTGAAAAGACAACGCATGTTCTTTGACATTAGGGCTTGCAAAAGAAAATAAGACATGAAAGAAATTCTTACCGTGTTTTGCATTAACACTTCAGTTACATCCTCCTGAAACCACAATCTACTGCGATCCTCGAGGTCCTTTCGTGGGCTTCCACAAATGATTTCTCTTCCCATATCACGTAATAAGTCATGCATTTCAAGCTTGTTATTCTTCCTATTAAAATTTACTAGGCATCGCTCAATGAGGGTTGTTATTCCGATTTTTGCGTTAAATCCACATCCATTTAATATATGCGTCGCATAGTTTCTATCCTTATTGATAAAGAAGCAACATATGTCAAGAAATATATTCTTCTCCATATCATCCTTTAATCCATCAAAACTTATTTTTAACTTTGCTTGTATCTCATCATTTGGAATCCTTTCTAGTTTGGACAGCACATCCTCCCATTCTTCAATTTCTCTATCAAACAAATAAGACCCAAGGACTTCAAGAGCTAGAGGAAGTCCTCCGCAATAAGCAACTACATTTTTAGAAAGTTCTATGAAGTTTTCAAGGGGGGCTTTTTGTTTAAAGGCATGCCAACTGAAAAGCTCGAGTGACTCAATTTCATTCATTGTTTCCATTTTATACTTGTGATCAGCTCTAATGACACTAAGCAGATGCAGATCTCTAGTTGTTATGACTATTATACTCCCAGGACAAAACCATTCAAGACTTCCACATAAAGCGTTTAGCTGATTGACACTATCCACATCATCCAATACAATAAATGCTTTTATGTGGGGAAGTCTTTCTTGAAGTATCTTTATCCCTCTATCAATGTTAGGTATCTTGAAAACTTCTGTATTAATGATATCAGAAATGAGTTGCTCTTGCAAATTAACTAGGTCATTAGAATGCTTTGAGTTTTCTCTTATCTGCGCAAGAAAACTTCTTGCTCTTCTAAATGTACGACCAATTGTATTGTAAAAGGCTTTGGCAACAGTAGTTTTGCCAACGCCTCCCATCCCCCAGAGGCCAATGATAAGAGCCTTTGTTAATGTCTTTTTTGACAATTTACTTGTCAGTTTCCGAACTTGAGACTCTATTCCTACTGGACGCTCAGCAACAAACAATTGTCCAGCATCTACTTTCTCTAAAACATCCTTCACAATGGTATCAAGCAGCTCAACTTCAGACCTGTCAATAATAAATGTCCGTGAAACAATATGATCAGCCACATAAATAGCATCATTATCAGAAATAAAACCGATAAGACTTACTTTTAAACAAAAGAATTTTAGCGGACCATTAAGAATAAGAGATGGACCAATTTAGCTATTAAATATGTATATGCATCATAGGAAGAACTTTCAAGCGTTGGATAAATCGCTGGGCATTAATTTCTGGAACCGAACAGAAGGCTTCAAAAGGAGGCCGATGGCACAAGGAGGCTATTGGAGCTTTGTTATCACTCAGTTTTTAACTCGTCATATATTTTTAATTGGACCCTCGTCTGCTCATATTTAGCACAGAATTACAGTATTATATTAGAATTAGTTATTTGTCCAAAATATTAGAATTAAATATTTGTCCGTGGCTGCAAGAGCAAAACAGGCAACGTAATTATAATAAGTAGTCCAACATTTTCAAGTGCACGATGAATTTATAGCGATAACTTTTAAAACTCACATAAATTTATTGTAAAATAAGAATAAATTATACAAACTGCGTTTATTTTTTTTAAATGCATAAATTTTACTTTTATTTTCTAGACATATATAGCCTTTGTTTAACCTATGTAAGAAAAATATAAAAGACTTCTAATTTTACTAAGTTATATAATTTTTTTCTATTGAATTCTTTTTCCTTTTAAAAAATAAAATGGTTAATACAAACTTTTCCCTTCAAGTCTACCTATATGGTTTCTTTTCATTTAAAATATTGATATTTATAATTTAATAAAAATTCGGACTATAACTAAAATGTATGATTTGAAATTTGAAGAACTAGAAAGCAAAAATTATATTAACCTTAAAATAAAATTGTGAAAGCATTCTGAGTTTGACACATCGTAATTTCCTTTTCCTTCTTTCTTTTTTTTTTTTTTCCTTTTATGAGAGCTAGTTTGGAATTCGTTACCGAAATGTTCCGGAATCAAACCCGGAAAGGTTGCTGATTTCCGTGAGAGCCTGCCTCCACCGCAGTACCCGGCAACCACCGCCCCCTCCCAACCTTAGCTCGTGTCGTTTCATCGCTTCACCATATGTACCTGTCTGTTTACGAACTTGAGACGGATCTGTGTTATAGAATATGGGAATAACCACCTAAGCTGCGGATCTTCGACACTCCATTATGTTCACCAGTTCATCCAGACACCATCTGGAAGATGCATAATCTGGAGACAAAATTACCAACGCAATTCGTGATCGTTCAATTGCTTGCAATAGTGAGGCAGAGATCTCTTCTCCCCTCTCAACTCCTTCATCGTCCATGAAAGCATGGATCCCTGACCGCCCTAGAGCGCTATAAAGCTCAGAAGTAAAACCGGCACGAGTGTCTTCGCCTCTAAAACTCAAGAACAAGTCGTAAGTCCAGGAAGAACTAGAAGAAGAAGAAGAAGCCATGGCTTATTGAGGGAATCAGGCAGGAGGCCAATCAATAAAACGCTTCAACGGATCGATCACAATTCATCACAGGAGTTTGACTTCATGATTGATTCCTTTATTAGTCACCCACGTCTGAATATTTTTCGCACAAACAAGTCAGTCAATTATTACTGTTTTCGGTCCCCAGAAGTCAGGCTTACCGTATCGTATCTTTCCTATTTCGCTTTTGGGCTTATTCTCTCCCATTGATATTTTTAAAGGGCAGGGAATACGGGACCATTGACAATGATGGTGGCTTAAGATTAGGCAATACTGGTTTTTTTTTTTTTTAAAAAAAAAAGCTGTGATAATAATGAGTTTGACAGTACAGGTGAATTATCATAATGATTGAAAACATGATATAAGTTTTTTTTTGTCAAAATTTTATATAGGATATAAAATGTAGTAATATAATTATAATAATTGATAAAATTGGAAAAAAAAGAAAAAAAGAATATCAATTACCCGCAAGGTTATGATTTTGACAGTGCTGGGGTTTCAACCTGTATTATCACATCTACCTTTTTCACAGATAAGTGGGCTTCTGAAATATAAGTTACATTTTTTCCTTACATATTATTACATTTAATCATCTTTAACCAGCTTTTTGATTTATATAATTTAATTATTTGTATCTTATAAAAAAAAGGGAGTATAAATCAGTCTTAGCCTTTGTTTGCAAATCAACCACCCAAAATTAAACAGTAGTGTAATCATCTATAATTTTATGCTTGGTCGAGGTATCTAAACCACAAATGCTCAGAATTCGCTTGTCTATGACTGTACGTAGCTAGTCTGTTGCTTATCATAATCATTAGTCAATCACTCAGTAGTCCTGTTCGATATTTTATTTTTGGCCGCAGTGAAAGTTGAGAAATTCTTAGTTATATTATCACCAATTCATCTTAATTTAATCGTAATTCTCACCCTCTCTGAGCGGATCAGAGCAGTTTGTACTGAAAAAACTAATGTTAAAAAACATTTATTTTAAGTTAATCTAAGAGCTTGTTTGGGAATTATTGGGATAGTTCCGGACAGCCTCAAAAGCCACTTGGGATTAAAAAAGAAAAAAGGGTAGTCGAATCAAAAAATACTGTTTGATATGGAATTGAAGGCTGCTGATTTTTTTTGGTCAAAAGTCACTTTAAAAGTTAAAAATTTTTGAAAAAATTAATCTTTTATTCATTTAACTTTTAACTCGGTGGCTTAATCTTTTAATTACGACTCAGTATAACTTGATCTCTAAATTTTTAACTGGGTTAAAACTCATTCTTTAATTTCTATCTTGCTTAATACAGTACTCGTTCTTACACATGACTCATCCTACATGGCAGAAGGGGTTGTTGCTGACATTATGAAAAATATACTCACGTCGCTTCCAAGTAAGCTCATCATGGCTGGAATATGGTCCTCATTGTTCTGATTGGGACAAAATGGTCGGCGATGCCAACATTGATTGAAAATCAATGAAGTAGAAAATAAAATGGAATATGAAGAAATCCACCCACCTGCAATGAAAATTCAATATTGGTGGGGACGGCGTTTGAACTTTTGAAATGGAAGACGTGAGTGGAAAACTTTTTATGATGCGCAGATTTCCACATTCTCACGTTTTTTTTCTCCTCCATAAATTCTCCTTTGCCCTAGTCTTATCCTCTGTCTAGGGCTGCTTATGAGATAGATTGGGATTAGGACAAGTTCATCCCGATTTTTTCCTGATGAACAGTGACAGGATAGAAAAATTGTCATGTGTCCCATCCAATCCTGCTATTGTCCCGATTCTGGTCGGGACGGGACTGAGACACCGATATGATTTTGTTTTAATGTTTTTTGAGTTGTTAGACCTATTGCAATAAAATCTGATTTTCTTTTATTGTAATTTTTTGGGCTTAGCCCTCGTAGAAATATCTTTTTTTTTTAATTTTCTTTGGGCACCTTTGCACAAAAACCCAAAATATTGCATATAATAGTCATTAAAAACTCTAAATAAAAGCTTGGGTCAAGGTGCAAAAATACCCATAAATTTATACCAAAAGTGCAACCATCACCATAACTTTTTTTAAGTACAAAAATACCCATAAACTTATAAAATTAGAGCAAAAATGACATCACCGTTAAATTTGACTAATATTATCAAAGTACCAAAATCCCCCTAGATAAAAGGAAGAAAAAAAAGACGAGGTGCAAAAATATCTATAAATTTTTAGTCAAAGTACACTAAATACCATATGCTTTTTCACAAATGTAAAAGTACCAATGATAGTGAAAATAAATTAATTCTTTCAGTTTTAGCAACAAAAAAAAAAACTCTATTAAATTTTATCATACTATTATAATACTAATAATTTTATTGTTAACTTATACGTTTAGTTCTCTAAGTTTATCAAGTTTTAACTTAGTTTCTTAAATATATAAAGTATATTTTGAGTTACTAAATGTTAACACCATTACTCTCATTAATAGAAAATACTAACACAATGAATTTAAATGGTAACTTTGTTGAAGTACCCATGAACGTGTAAAAATTGATTATTTCATTTTTTGAAAAAAGTATTATACTATTATACTTTTGAACCTCTAAATTTGCATCAAGTTTTATTTTAACCTCTTAAAATTATAAATTTTATTTTTAGTCCATTAATATTTGTATATATTGAAAGATGGTTGTTGATGTTAAAAATCAGACTACATCTTTATTAGATTTTATTTTAAATATTTTTCAACTTACAAATTTTAAACTAAAGATTAATATTTCAATATTTAATTACAAAGTTACCATTTAAATTTGCTAGATCAACCTTGACTGTTAATGAAACCAACGGTGTTAGCACCAAAGGAATTAAAAATACACTTTATAAATTTAAGGAGCTAAATTAAAACTTGATGTGAATTGAAAAGACCAAAGATGTATATTAACCATAAAATTATTAGTATTACAATAATATAATAAAATTTAGTAGATTTTTTTTGGCTAAAACTAAAAGAATTAATTTATTTGCATGGTCATTGGTACTTTTATACCTGTGAAAAAATATATGGTATTTGGCGCATTTTTACTAAAAGTGTACAAGTATTTATGCACCTTCGTCCTTTTTTGTTTTCCTGTGGCAAGGGCATTTTGGTACTTTCATAACATTAGCATGGCCCCACTACAAAAAGTAATGGTCGTTTGCCAAATTTAACCCTAGTGCTATTTTTGCTTTGATTTCACAAGTTTATAAGTGCTTTTACACGTTTAAAAAAGTCATGATGGTGGGTGCACTTTTGGTATGAGGTTATAGGTATTTTTGTATCTTGACCCTAAAAGCTTTTAACACTATAAAAACTTGCTGAAAATTCTAATCATCAATAGTTTTAAATCATTAGCAAATATAAAAGTTCTAAATAAATGGATCTATTGTTCTATACAATAGCTTCAAATCTTTAAAAAATATTAAAAAAATGATAAAATGTATTATATAAATATGATTAAAAAATGAAAAAAAAATAAAAGGACCAAGATGGGACAATCCATCTCATGTCCTGTCCCGTCCTAGTAAAGCTTGGATTAGAACGGGCTAGGCTTGAACATCCCTACCACTATCATGGTAATCCAGAAGGGAGGTGCAGGACTCTTCTTTATTTGGGTGTTCGTACACTTCTTTGCCTTTTCTATTGACCATCGAGCCACTTCCCATCTTCCTCGCTAATGCCATAAAGAGCAATATCTCCTATTTTTAATATAATAATTAAAATAAGTAATAAATGTATTTTTATTTTTCTAAACTACTTTTATAATCATATGTATTAGAACTATTCTTTGATTAAGAACCCGTTGGTATATATAACTAATAGGCTTGGCTAAAACAAATGTAGTTCACAAACAGGTTAATACAATTTTTGGTTCATTAAATTTGTTCTCATTTTGGTTTTGGTCTCTTAAGTTTCAAATCATAGGTTTTGGTGCTCAAGCGTTTTTTATTTAAAATATTGGTTTCTATAATCCAATAAAAACTTGAATCATTTTGCTTTTTGAGGGATCAAAACCTATGATTTGAAACTTGAGAGGCCAAAATTAAAATAAGGATCAACTTAAAGGATCAAAGATTATACTGACTCTTAACAAAAATACTCTAGCTAAAAAAAATATAAATTTACAAAGCAAAGTAATTAAGATTTTACGTTTAAGACAAAAACAAACCGGTGAATCAGTTTAATCCGGTTTGATTTGGTTTGGTTGTTGAATTGGGCAAGAATTGAATCGGTATCAAACCGGTTAAACTAGGGTGCACCATTGAAAACTGGTATGAATCGATGATGAACCGATTTGGATGATTATGTTACTATTGATTCTTTTTTTTTAAAATCTCATTTAGCTCCTAATATCTCAGTCACTATTAATTTGAATAAATTTTAGTGATGATTTTCCTATTAATGATTATTAATTTTAGTTATAAATGAATAATAAAGATCAAAATTATCAATGTTGTCGATTTTGTTATTGTTAAAATCAAACAATTATGTATTTTCTTGTATTTTATTATTAGTAATTATTAATGCTGTTATATTTTGTTATTTTTAATTAAATTATATTATTTTAATATGACATGTTTGATCTCTAATTGATCCTGGTTTGACCAACTAACTTTTGAATTATTATCTCAATTGGTTTAGTTCTCAGTCCAGTTTTTTTTTTCTTTTTTTCTTTTTTTGGCTACAAGTTATCTCAACTTCTTCCTTTATAATTTGACACTGTTTATATTATATCATTCATATCAAGGATTAAAAAGCTGATTAACCCTTCCTTTTATCTTAATTATATATCATTCCTTGTATCAGGCAGGATGGAAATAAATATAAAATAGTTCAACAAATTAGAATAATTTTAGGGAGAAGAGGACTACGATCTAGGGACATTTTACTAAGAATCAATTAATAACAAAAAAAAAATAGAAAGGAAAAGGGGAGAAAAAGATGATGAGAGGTGTGGAGGCATAAAA